GTCGAAGGCTTGGCAACCCGATGACAGTTCAAGCACTAGTGGACGTGGTTCACTTAAAGCGGCCTTCTGTAGTTTTTTTAATGGAAACTTTTGCTAATGCTAGTCGGGTGGAGTTCATCATGCGGAAGATCGGGATGGATCATTATTTTGCGGTAGCGAGTGAAGGTCACAAAGGCGGATTAGCTTTGATCTGAAGAGAGGGAGTATACGTTCAGATTGACGGGTCTTCTAACCACTTTATTGATGCACAGGTCAGCTTGGATACGGGGGCTCCAAGTTGGCGATTCACGGGCTTCTATGGCTGTCCAGAAAGGAATAGACGACGTGAATCTTGAGAAATGCTTAAATCTCTGAGCCTGGGAGCAGATCGTCAGTGGCTTGTGATGGGAGACTTCAATGATCTCATGTTTTCTTCCGAGAAGAGGGGATGGGTTCCTCATCCTCCGTGGCTTCTTAGAGGATTTCGGGGGACAATATGGGAGTGTGGTCTGAGGAATTTTGCCTTTCAGGGCTATCAATTTACTTGGGAGCGTTGGAGAGGGTCTCCAAATTGGGTTGAGGAAAAACTGGATAGGGTTTTGGTCTCTGAAAGTTGGCTCGATATTTTTGGAGACGCGGCTGCTGAATCTATGGAGGGAGCACCTAGCGATCATTTGATTTTATTTATTAAAATCATTCCAACACATAACTTTCGGCGCAGACGTAATTTCAAATTTGAAAATGCATGGCTCCGGGAGGCTGATTGTTGGGAGATTGTTGCTCGTAGCTGGGGGCTGGGCCGTAACAGGGGCATTATGGGTCAGGTGGCTTCTTGTGGTAAAGTAGTTGGGGATTGGGGTTATAACACGACGAGGTCTTATGGCAAGCGCATTAATTTTTGTAGGAAAAGGCTTGCACATCTTCGCCAAAGGTGGGACTCATGGGGAATTAATGAATTTCGGAGGGTCAAACAGGAGTATCTTGAACTCCTTGAAAAGGAGAATATTTTTTGGAGACAAAGGGCCAACGAGTTTTGGTTACAGGAAGGTGATCTCAATACTCGTTACTTCCATAACTCGGACAAACAGAGAAGACGTAAAAATAAAATTGAGGGCCTCAAATTGGAGGATGGTCGGTGGGAGAGTGAAAGGTATGAAATGTCCAAATTAATTGGCGATTATTTTAATCATATTTTTACTGCAGGCATTGGGCGAGAGGAATTTATTTATGGGTGTGTTCGGCGTAGAATTGAGGATCGGGATAACCACGACCTTCTTGGTCTGATTCGAGGTGAGGAAGTTAAAGAAGCGGTTTTTGCTATGTTCCCTGATAAGTCTCCTGGGCCGGATGGTTTGAGTCCGGGGTTCTATCAGCATTTTTGGGATGTGGTTGGTCAGAACGTCATCAATTTTTTCAAGGAGACATTTGCGTCAGGTAAGCTCCCTGAAAATATTAAGCATACTAATATTGTTTTGATCCCTAAAAAAGAGAAGCCTCATTCTATGAATGATTGGAGACCGATTGCCCTTTGCAATGTGATTTATAAAATCTTTTCTAAATTACTTGCAAATCGCATGAAAAAGTTACTTCATGTATGCATCTCAAAGCAACAAAGTGCTTTTATTCCGAGTAGAAATATTGTGGATAATATTCTGCTAGCTTTTGAGTCTCAGCATTTTTTAAAGTGCAAGCGTCAAGGTAAGATGGGGTTTGTAGGCCTTAAGCTTGATATGAGTAAGGCCTATGACAGGGTTGAATGACCTTTTTTAGAAGGGATGATGCGAAGCTTGGGGTTCAATGAAAGGTGGATCAAGTTAATTATGGAATGTGTTACAACAGTTTCCTACTCAATTCCATTTGACGATTCAACAATTGTACTATCCACTCTGGGAGAGGGCTTCGGCAGGGGGTCCTTTATCCCCGTATTTATTTCTGATTGTTGCGGAAGGACTTAGTTCGTTATTGCACAAATATGAGGATATTGGGCGATTGCATGGTGTCTCTGTTGCTCGTGGAGCCCCTATGATTTCCCAATTATTTTTTTGCAGATGACAACTTATTATTTTTTCGAGCTAATCATGGTGAGGCATCTTTGGTTAAGGAAGCGTTGGCTGACTATGAAAAGGCATCGGGTCAGGTAATCAACTTTAATAAATCCAAAGTATTTTTAGTACAAATGTTTCAAAGAATTGTCGGGAGGGCATGATTGATTTGCTAGGTGTCAGATTAGCGGGGGAGGAGGAAAAATATTTGGGCTTACCGGCATTGGTGGGAAGGAGTAGAAAAAATATTTTGGGTTATCTGAGACAGACGGTGATTAGTCGCATAAATAATTGGAATAATAAATTTCTATCTAAGGCTGGCAGAGAGGTTTTTTTGAAGTCTGTTATTCAGGCCATGCCGACCTATGCAATGAATGTTTTTTTGTTGCCTGTGGAGCTATGCCGTGAGATTGAAATAATTATGAATGGCTACTGGTAGAAGGGAAAGACAGGTAGAGGGATTCATTGGAAAGATTGAGCTTCCTTATGTCGATCGAAAAAAGCAGGAGGGTTGGGTTTCAGGAGACTTCGTGACTTTAATTTAGCTATGTTATCGAAGCAAGCTTGGAGAATTTTCACGAATCCTGATTCTCTTGTGATTAAAGTTCTTAAGGCCAGATACTTTCCTAAGGGGGGATTTTTAAAATGCTAACCCGAGAAATAACCTTCTTTTATTTGGCGAAACTTAATTCATACTCAGAATATCTTTCGGGAGGGCTATTGTTGGCGGGTGGGGGATGGTCTTTCTATTAACATTTGGGAGGAACCTTGACTTCCTAAAAGGGAGAATCTGAGGGTTACTACGGAAATCGTGGAGGGATTGAAGGGGGTTGTTGTGGCTAATCTTTTGGTCAGCAATCAAACAAAGAGGGATCCTGATGTTATCAATGATATCTTCGACCCTCGAGATGCATCATTAATCCGTGGTTTACCACTTAGAAGGAGACAAATTCCAGACTCCATATGCTGGAGACAAATTCGTGACAAATTCCAGACTCCATATGATGTTAGTCACGGATTTTTCACACTGCGGTTCGTGACTAAGTCCGTGACTAAAGATGAAATTTTTTGTAGTGAAGATGAGCTAATCGGAACGCCTTTTAGCAGTAATCTTCTTTGTTGACAAACTACCTGTGCAAGCTTGCCAGAAAAATATTTTAACTTTTGGAGGGATGTTAAAACGCCATACCTGAGTCCACACCTGGGTCGCCAAGCTCAACTTAGTAAGCAGCCTTTTGACAACTTCCAACAACAAATAATCCTTTAATATTAAACAATCCTTGCCAACTAAATGGATGTGTTAATCTTAATTTGAAAAATATTACCGATTAATTAAAAGATGGGGTATGGACACTTCAAATACACAAAGTTGGGGGATATTTTTTAAAGCATTAAGAGTATAGTGTGGGGAGCTTACACCAAGGCAAAATTTAGGATATTTTATTTATTTTCTCTTTTAATAAAAGTTCTACCAAATTCATATGTAATAAAAGTACGCTGAATGTATTTTATTGAATGCAGAGAAAAATAGTACTGACAAAGTTTTAAACATGGTTTTTATATAGACAAGGTCCATATTTAACATTTTAGACTCCTTACCACTACAAATGGTCAGATGATGAACAAAATAGAGAGAATTATCTAACTAGGACTAAAGGATAGTCAACGATCACAAATATGACTGCATTAGTTTAAATTCCCCAGTAGGACTAATTATGTGTTTTTGTACAAATATACCTTTGTAGCCTTTGAAATGTTTTAATTCATAATAAAATCGCAAAAACACAAAGAGAATCATAAAAAAGTAATTGAAAATTAATAAAATATTTACTACTAATAAAATCTCGAATTATTATTGTTTCTAAAAAATCAAATTTTTTTGAAATTTATACGAAGTATTTTGTTAATTTTTTCATTAATTTTTACGATTTTTAAAATTTTTTATGATTTTATTATGAATTAAAATATTTCAATAATTCTCTTAGAAGTATTTATGGTAAAAAATTAATTCTGGTCCTATTTGTAAATGATTTAGGACTACTATTTTGTGGCAAAAGTTTTTGGGCCCTCTAACTAGGGGTGCAAATGAGCCGAGCCGCTCGTGAGCCGCTCGTGAGTTGCTCAGTCGAAGCTCGAATCGAGTTTGGTCAAACTCGAGCTCGAGCCGAGCTCGAGCCGGCTCGTTAAGCAGTCGAGCCATAAACGAGCTTACTAATTTAAGGCTCGCTAGCTCACGAGCCTAGTTTTATGTGTGTACATTTATACATTTAATATATACTCCCCGTTCCCCAATTAAGTTACCACTTTCCTTTTTGGTAAGTTCCTAAATTAAGTTCACACTTCCTTACTTTCCTTATTTGGCAAATTATCTACATCAAAACAGTGCCAAACAGTGCAAAACAATGCAAACAGTGTTTGAACAGTGCAAAACAGTGCACTCCACAGTAAAGTCAAATTTATTTTCTTAATACGTGTGAAGTCAAACCGGGAACTTAATTGGGGGACGGAGGGAGTATAATATTAATATAAATTAATATAATATATATATTAGTATATATAATATATATAATATAAATTAATATATGTATGTATATATATAAAATACTGATTGGTAAATGTATATGAGGATCGGGGAGATATTATATTTTCCGTTCCCGTAACTCTAGTTTCACTTAAATCATCATGGTGTGATCATTTTTTATTTATTTTGGACAACATTTACTCTACTTTTAGTTGTTGGACATGTAAATTTCAATTTGCAAATACTAAGCACAAATATTCAAATATTGTTTCATACTTGAGCTCGAGTTCGAACCCGAACTTTCGAGCTAATCGAACTTGTAACAATTAAATTGATGAACCAAAATTATCGAGCCGAGTCGAACCGAATCGAACCATGTCAATATTTTCGAGTTGAACCAGAGCCCGATTTTTTTAAGCTAGTTCTAGAGGAGCCCTAGCTGAGCCAATATATTTGGAGGTCGGAGCCTATGTAAACTCGGGATAGGCTCGTTTGCACCCTACCTCTAATAAACAGAGGAAAGCCTTTCAAACAAAAAACCAGAGGAAAGCTGCGTAGAAGAAGATCGCCGTAGCCACCTCCGGAGAAACCATCGGAATCACACTTCCAGATGAGGGATCCATCTTCAATCTTGCGTTGTAACAAGTAATATACGGAGTATGTTAGTTGTACACCGATACAGTTTCTACTTCAAACAGTATGTTTTAAAATATACGGAGTACTTGTTTCTAAAATACTCAACGGTGGCTGAGTGGCTCGCTCGTCATTCACTTTTTGTTAGCGAAGCTCTCACATTGTGGCTAAACGGATCGCAGGGGCCAAGCTATCAGCGACCATGGAGGACAAAATTGCTGGCCTGGAAAAACAAATGGAGGAACAGAATCGGAAAAACAGACGGAGGAACTGAAGTGGATACGCTATTAATGCTATTACAGAAAAGGAGCAAAGAGGAAGAAGCTCAGCCCATACCTGCATATCACACGCACTCACATGCTCTACAAGCCCTTGGTGAGTAATATTGAAGCAATCCGTTCCTCTCAAATTGCTGGATATGACAGAAGCATTCTGTTCCTTTCAATTTCAATTTGTTGGATATGACAGAAGCATTCTGTTGCTTTCAATTTGGTGGATAAGACATAGGTTAATTTGATGAGTATGATCCAAGATGCTTGTTTTTCAAATATGGTCACTTGATAGAGTATCCTTTGGATTCATGTTGTGAAGAAAGCATCAATTGTTTTATTGCGAGATACTATTATTTTTGAAGAGCTAATACGGAGTAATATTCTAGATAGCATCGTTTGGGGGTGTTAACTGAATTCTGAACTTCCCACTGGGAGGTAGTTGTCCACTAGCCCCCCCACAAAATTCATGTTGTTAAATTTTTGTAATCATTATACTGTTTCAGTAAGTTTAATGATCTTACTGACCACTACTTCCAGCCTCATCAGTTAGGTCAAGGCTCAAGCAGTTTGCGGGGATGAACATATTTAAAAAGATGGCCTTAAGGGTAAGGATATGCCAAAGCCTAATGTCACGTGTGTCACATCAGTTAAGTGTTTATAACTCTGTCATAAGTAATGAACTTCATTAATAGTACAAAATTAATGGTATAGGTCATAGCTGAACATCTTTCAGCTGAAGAGGTAAAATTGATTCGAATTGCGTTCACTCTTTTGGATACTGACCATGATGGAAGGATTACATACACCGAGTTGAGTGCTGGGCTAAGAAGGGTTGGTTCCCCGCTAGATGAGCTAGAGATCTTAATGCTTATGGAAGTTGTAATTTTCTCAGCATTTATACTTATATAAGTGCTAAATCATGGAATAGTTTACATTGCTTATGAAGTGCTATTGGACAAAAGTGTGATCATTAAGCTTGTTTCTTTTGACTCTCAACTACTTTTTTTCAACATAAACTCTGTTCTGGTAGGAAATTGGCTCCCCCCCCTCTCAGATGACATTAGTGGTATTAGTATGTTAGTACTAATTGTAGGTGCTTGCAATCTCAGGCTGATATTGATGGGAAAGGTTACTTGGATTATGGGGAGTTTGTGGCAGTGGCAATCCACCTACAAAAGATGAAGATTGACAAGCACTTTCAAAGTGCTTTTTGGCACTTTGATAAGAATAGAAGCTTCTATGTTGAACCGGATGAGCTACGATAAAGGTTGGCGACCAAATCAGGAGAACTTGATGCACAAATTCTAAATCTGATCATGAGCGAAGTTGATACTGACAAGGTATGCTCCCTTCACTATCCGTAGTGTTTATCCAAATCTTGGATGTTAATGGATCACAAACATGTTTCTGACATCTATCTTGTATGATAGGATGGTCGTATAAACATGATTCATACTGTTTATTCAGCATACAAAAAACAACTTCATATACAAATATCATTTTATCCCGACATACATCTTAACCTACATAGACGTCTTAATTCAGACAGGACTTGCTAGAAAAAGAGTAAAAAACCCTTCAATTTAATATAAATCCCACTTGATAACAATAAAATTGATCAAATCGACTTATTATTTTGAAATTGATTAAGTTGTCTGAATGGGATGCATAATTATATTTTAATTTTAATAGTGAGAAATTCAAATGCCTTTACTCGTTATTTTACTCATTATTTCGTGACATTGAAAATGCTTAAAAGTGTAGTTTTAAAATGAGATTTTTACATAAATTTTACCAATAGTAAATGGGGTTACAAAAAAGTGACTATTAATATGGAACACGTATGGCATCATGAGAGTAAGTTAGGGCAAAAAGTCATATTTTTGTTAGTGGGGTTTAAAGTAATAATATTTGTGTAATTTTTTCTTTTATAAAATTTCAAAATTCTTTTCTCAATTGGACAATTGTAATTTTCATAAACTAATACGGAGTAAAAATAGAAGTTTGAAGAGTCCAGGGATTCCATACATATTCCACCTTCCATGCTCAATTCAAATGCCAGATCCACCCAGAACACTGTAGTCCCTAGCACATTTCTGGTGAGTGAGATTCTTTCGATCTGCATTATTCCAAATGCCATTGGGTTTTTGTTGATGGTAAATGGTTTAAGTAATAATATCACCTCATCGTGTTTATTCGTAATAGGGGTACCGTTGTTCTGTATTCATTGGTGATGGTAATCAGTATTTTATTAACTGATCATTGTTGTCGTTCGTATTCTCGCAGAAGGGGTACCATTGTTTTGTACATTCAATAGAAAATCAACTATGATTAATACTTTTTTTTATCTACTTTTGTATATTTTGTTTTTCAGTCTTGATATAATAAAAATAGATAAAAACATATCTAGTTTGTTGCACTACACGAGTTCGTACAAATTTAAAAAATTGAGTTCAAACAAATGTTTTATCACCACCTTCCAAATTTCTTTTAGAAAATAACACATCTATCTCAAATGCTATCAAAATCCGATATAGGTAAATAAGTAGAGATGTGAAATAAAAAAATCAAATGATGAATAATAAAAAATTAAACAACATGTAAATCAGACCATTCTGGAGAAACACTTCTTCAACTTCCTTTCCATGTCCTTGGCAAGTTTGAAAAGACTTCCCTGTAAACAATGTTTCGGATGTGCCTTTTGTATTGTTGGTTGGAATCATCAATGAAGAAGTGTAACCCTTATGGAGAAGTTGTTCGAGATGCTGCCACATACAATTGGCCGTGACTGAAAACAGGTTTCGGCAGGTAGATTCCCACGTGTTTGAGAGATTGTCCCTGGTTTTTGTTTATTGTCATGACATAACATGGTTTCAATGGATATTGTCTTCTCTCAAGTACAAATGGTATGAGCACTTCCTTCTTCACGCTGGTAAATTTCGAGGAATGCTGCCATGCTGGTGGATCTCTCAATCTAGGCAATCGGACCTTACCCTCATAAAAACACAAATTGAATCTTATGTTGCTCCGGGTACTTGTGCTTTTCACTCTCTCATCGTACCACATAATTGCGTCCCAGTATGTGCACTTATATTCTGCTGCTCTCAAGCTGAGATATGTATGTCTTGTATCTGGAACAAATCACAATATCTATCATTTTTCAGTTGTCTATTTCTCAATCTATCTTGGTTGCTACATCTTATAATCTTATCCTATATTATGATATTCCATTTGCATATATAATTGGATTTTTATCCCAGGCCTAAAAAAACACAGATAAACAATGATGGTATCTGAAGAAGGTATGTCTAGCTCCATAGTTATTTGTAGTTTCATTAAAGGTCTTTTCCACTTAGTACAATTGATTTTCTGAAAATCATAAATCGGGTGTCATTGGTTTCATACAGTTTAAGGCATTAATAATTGTGAGCAGAAGCTTAGTGGTTCTATAGTATTTGTCACCATGGAAAAGTTGAGTATTCATCTAAACTTTATGCGATCTCATATGCATTCTTTACTTCATATAGCATGTACGTAGTATTTTTGTTGCTTTTGTCTAACTTAAATGAAGTACTGTTAACCTGTATTTTGTGTATCTCTGTTTCCATCCGATCTTCTTGTTTTTCTTTTCTCCAAAATTATTTGTCTACGTCTTTTTCTAGCTGTGCGACAGAGCTCAATTTGTGATGCTGCTTGAGACATTTTTTGTATTCCACAGTTTTGTGATGTACTACGTAGTATATACTAGTATATATATTGATATGTGGAGTAGCCTGGCATTTAATTTCTATTAATGTTCGCAGGTATCTATTTTCAATTAGGAAGGTAGTTTTAAACTGGAAACAAACTTAAATGTAAATCATTAATATAAGCACGAATAGGATTACAAATAAATTTTATTCCTCGTCTCGATTAGAAATAGATTTTATTCCTAATCTCGATTAGAAATAGATTTTACTCCTAGTATGATTTGGTCTGATTTGGTCTGGTTTGATCTGATCTGATTTGTTCTAGTTTTCTATGGTTCAATCTATGGTTTGAAGTGATCTAGTTTGATAGTTGTCTATTTTATGTGTATTTTTATTATTATTGAAGTTTGATTTCGTCTGATCTGGTCTATGACTTGAAACCAATCAAATTAAAAACATCCTAAAAGTGAGTTTTTTCCGAAAATAATGTCAAACAAAAAAATATTTCCCAAATTAGGGTTAAGTTAAAAGTATTTCTCAACTTCAGGTTTGACAAAATATTGTACCAAGTATAATGCAACGTAGCAATGCACCTAACATCCAAAATAATACGTAGTATATAATGGTGGGTCCCACCCAAATTAAAAAAACTCCTATTTTCTTCAAAGTGTTTTAACTACTTTATTTGTACTTTGATTGTTATAAAAAATATTTCAAAAATCATAACTTTTTATTATCTTTAATATGACACCAATATTCATTATATAAAAATCAAAAAATAAAACGGAGGAAAGAGTATTACATTTTAGGGATTTAAAAACTATTAGTACATATTTTGTTTTATTAAAATAAGTGTGAAGAATAAAATTAGTAGCAATTTGGCTGATTTATGCTATAAGTGAGCAAAGCACGGATACTTCATGGTACACACTTCGTGTACACACTCTTACACACTCATGTTTGTGAAGACATTTTTTTTGTCTCCAGACAAAACGTATTTGACAAATAAGTGTGTACTCCAAGATTCACTTCGTTTCATTTTTTTTTTTCTAATTGTAACGAATAGCAATATTCATAAAGTCAAGGCAACGAAAACCTAATCAACCACTTAGGGACTTAGGGTCTTACAAGTAACAAAAGGAACAAAAGGAACAGAGATTAAAAAGTAACAAAAGGAAAAGAGATATATTTTACGCAGTAAATACCTTTAGTCCTCTTTGACGCACATTATGACTTGAGACATCAACATCATTTGCAGGATGACTGCGTTTCTTTGCTGCGCCCTTTGAAGATAAATTTTCAAGTCTATTGAAATAATTTACCTGTTATACACGCACACATTAATATTATACTCCCTCCGTCCCATATTTAACTCCGGTTTTGACCGGACACGGATTTTAAGATAGTGAGATTTGTGTGGTGGAGAGTTATGCAGAGGAGAGAGAAATGTGTAAGAATGGTTGTGAACCACATATTCTTTACCAAAAAAGGAAAAAAAAGATAAATTTAGGACGGATCGAAAAAGAAAGAATGAAGATAGATCCGGGACGGAGGGAGTAATAATTTTAAAAGTGGGATACCTCGAGGATAGTCCTATCAGGGACTTTCATGACAATAAATGTTTGCCGTCGAGCTTTTCGATTGTAATAAGTACCTGTGTTTTGGAACAAAAAAGTATTACCGAGGAACACATTATTTATTAGTTTTGGTATTTTGGTGTCATCATCGTAATCATCCTAATAAAACACAAATATGTTATATGTGTTCTCCATGATCTCTTTATGGGAAAATTCCTGAAATAAGAGGAAAAAAGTTTGAAAATTCAAAAACAGGATTGTTATATTTTTATTCCCAACAGGAAGATCTGTGGAATCACAATTTATCTCTCTCAACTTGGATGCCGTGAGGCGGACCTATAATTTCAGGAGTTCATTCATAAGCTGAAGACGGTTTGCCGATCGGCGAATCGTCGCGGATGGGGAAGAAATAGAGAGCGTCCCACCAGTTTGGAAAATACTACCATGTTTAAAGTATGGTACTGCCAAAACATGTCAGTAATTAGTTCTATTTTGGAAATAAAAATATGATAGTCTTATTTTGAAATATACAAATGGTTTTAGTCTTATTTTTGATAATTTCTCTTTATTAAAATATACTTCGTATGTGCTTCATTTGTATGAATGGCCATTGCAGTTTGTCAAATAAGTCTTTTTGCATCTTCATCGAACACAACAAAAATCGTATCCACTATCATCTTGTATCCCAACCTATATTACATTACTAGAAAGGTTAAAATAAATGATAAAGATAATAACCTGAATTTTGGTTTGGTTATTTAAACCATGCAGTGGTGACACCAAAAGTCTGTCATTCTTGGTGTTTCTTTTCTCTTGAAATATGGGCACCTCGTATAGTTTCAAGAATTTTCACAAAAAATGTTGTTCACTTTGGCGTCACAGAAGAACACCAAAAATTCCTATTACAATGTATTGGTAATAATAAATGTCAGATGTAAAATAAATCACCTTATCAATATCATCTTGGCTACGATTAAGAAGAGTGACAATATTTATCTTGTTCAGCATAATCTCGTCACGATTGATCGTATTACTTCGCATTGCAACTTTTGCAATGGCAACTTCTTGCTTTTCACTGTTGCGAGCACAATTAAATTATAGGATTTTTTCCCCTTTGCGGTGTATCCATAAGAATTACGGCAAATTTTCTGAAGGTTGATGAACTTTTTTTATTTTCAAGGAAGTAACATTCGAGTTTTATTTGAGAATAGTACCTCCAAAGGGCCTTCAACTTATTGCATTCATCAATATCAAGATCTATGTGTACCGTATATGCTTGAGGGGGATGTTGATAAACATAGATTTCTTGCCCAATTATAACAAATTTACTGAATATTTGAAGAGGCAGTGTACATGATATTATCACAAAGAACCCAATGCACAATGGATTTCAAACTGTTAACTTTATTGTTGTGATACAGACCATTATATTCTTTAAGGGAAAGTTCCCGAAATATTACTAAAACAGTTTCAAAATTCTAAAATAGGACTGTAGTGTTTTTTATTCCCAAAATAGGATTAATTACTTACATGTTTAGAAAACACTTCCATATTTGAAGTCTTGTACTGCCAAAACATGATAGTAATTAGTCCTATTTTGGGAATAAAAACATGACAGTCCTATTTTGGAATTTTCAAACTGTTTTAGTCTTATTTCGGGTAATATCTCATTCTTTAACTATAGTAGAGGTAACAACTATCACAAAATGTTTTGTAGGCTCGTCGAGTTCATTTCGTTGTTTGGTAACGTGATCAATGTATTGACCCCATAGTCTTATTTTGATCCGGTTCGCCTTGCATGGTAACAAAAGTGAGTACATATGGCTGGACGTTACTTGAATTTTGTAGGAGAAAGAACTACGTAGTATATAATTAGTTAATAGATATAAAACATACCACTGGTCTTCTGTTTCAATTGTTGCACATCCATTAGGATCATAATCGTTCACAACCATGCCAACCACATCCGCAAGAACAATATTTAGTGGTATAAATTTATTATAGAGATATAACACCGATATAATATTTAGTAACAATATTTTTTCATACCAGTCAAAAGATATTTACTCCCAAGACGGCTCTTTAAATTGTTGAAAGATACGAAGTCAAATTTATAGTTTGGCACTTCAATTGCTTCTCATTTGACTTCTTTGATGGCTTTTTTTAATATGTTATAGAAGAATTGTAGCATAATTTTATTTTTCGGCTACAACACGAAACTCTTCTTTATTTGGAATCACTGAGAATTTTTTTTATGATGTGTATCGTTCCTTCCTTTATTTTGGGACGTAATGTATGAACATATCCACTTCTTATAGATGCATGAACATAATTACCTTGAAATCATAAAAAATATCAATAGATTTTTGCATAAAATAGGTGCATTCAAAATTTGAAATTTAAATAGAGAAGTATACCTCTTTAATTTATCAATTAGAACCATGTCTAAACAAATTAACTAAGTTGCCTTGCCTTTTGTGATTGATGACATCACAGAGGTGCGTAACACAAACTTTGATTGTCCAGTCGGACTTAGATGTATCAAGTTGACGTATTAGAGAATAATTTCTGCATTTTATGAAATATTAATCAATCAGGTATAATGCATAATATCATGCATCATAAACATGTGAATGGTAAAGTATCATATGTACATAGTATTCAATAATATATCATTATCACTACTACAAAAGGGACATTCCACGTCGGTTATTTTATACCTTTCACGTCGGTTTTCAAAGAGACGTGTAAGTAAGAGACGTATAAGATGGAAACATTTTACGTCGGTGAAAGAACCGAAGTAAAAGGTTGTTTTTGAAAATTAAATATAACCTACCATTTGTTTTTCCAGGCCAACAATTTTGTCCTCCATGGTCGCTGATAGCTTGGCCCCTGCGATCCGTTTAGCCACAGTGTGAGAGCTTCGCCAACAAAAAGTGAATGACGAGCGAGCCACTCAGCCACCGTTGAGTATTTTAGAAACAAGTACTCCGTATATTTTAAAACATACTGTTTGAAGTAGAAACTGTATCGGTGTACAACTAACATACTCCGTATATTACTTGTTACAACGCAAGATTGAAGATGGATCCCTCATCTGGAAGTGTGATTCCGATGGTTTCTCCGGAGGTGGCTATGACGATCTTCTTCTACGCAGCTTTCCTCTGGTTTTTTGTTTGAAAGACTTTCCTCTGTTTATTAGAGGTAAGGTGCAAACGAGGGCAAATTATACCGTACACTCGAAGGGGTGTTCCTTTGGCCGGACAGAACCCGGGGTGTTCTGTTGGCCGGACAGAACTCTCGAAGGGGTGTCCTCACCGTACATCCGGGTATTTTTGAAATTATGATCAACTTCTCTGTCTGATGATTCAAGCTTTCGTTGCTTCTTTCATGGAGTTGGAGTCCGCTAGCGTGCCTACCCTGTTCTCCGCTCGAAGGATGGCTTCAAATTGGGGAAAACGAAAAACTTACTCAAATTGGACGAAACCGGTGTCAAAAGCTTCGCCTCAGCAAGACGAGTCCAGAACAACTCTCAGAATTTGATTTAAACATGTCGTTTGGGAGATACGAACAAAAATCAGACTGCTCTGAACAGTGGTGGGCATAACTGCTCTTTGCTAACTCCGGTCAAACAGCACCTCCGACCACTGAAAAAGGGTTGGGGAGGTGCACCTAGAGGTGACGACCCCCACAGCACTCTTTGATTCCAACAACAACCGTCAAATTTTGGATTAAAGACCATAAAATCAAAACTGTGAATAGTAAATTGTTGCGCACAAATCTTCAGAAATCCGTCGTTTTCCATCTTAAAAACCTAAATCTTCCAAATCCAATCGGTGGAAAAGAATGAGGAGGAAAATCCGAGCTAGGAGAAACAAGATTTAGGAAGAAAGATCGATCAAAAGAGCCAAAAGAAAATTCGTGTATTCATATGTCATATCAATACACAAATGAAATTTGAACACATATTGAGCACAATAGAAATGAGTTTTATGTTAAATTCAAATGAGTATAACGTCCAAATTGAATGAGCACATGCACAAAAATGCGTTTTTAAATTTTTTGATACTCATTTCGTAAGTTATGCATGCTCATTTGGTAATAATGGTATACTCATTTAACAAAAAGCTTGAATTTCATCTCAATAAATGAGGTTTGGTGCTCAATGAACATATCGTTATGTTAAACTAACAAATCTTACGATATATATATCAATAAACATTTTATAAGTTACGTATACTCATTTGGTACCAATGTTATGCTCATTTTAAAATGTTATATCAATGCATATTTTAAAAGTATCATATTGCATTAAATTCGCATATGGAAATTCATAGGCGGGGCGGGGTGCACCCACCCCATTTGCAAGACGGGGCAGGCCAGAGTGGGCCATTGATGGCCGTAAACAGGCTTGTGTACTTCCCATGCCATCTCCATCTCTCATTCTATCTTTCCAATTCAGTTTTTTAGTTCTTGATTTTCTCCATCTCTCTTGTATCCAATTCATCTAGAAACTCAGTTTTTCCAAAATCTATGTCTATGTAAAGTTAATGATTCATATAAGTTCAATCGAATTTCAATGTCTGAACTGTTGCGAGACATGCTCTGTGAATAAATAAAGTACCCCTTTTAACAAAATACTTCTCTATTCCCTTTTATAAATGACAACCGTCAACATTTCACGTTTGCCAACGCACAAGTTTGACCATTAATATATTCCATTCCTTATTAGTAAAAAATTTAAAAAATTTATATTTTGAAAATTTAGAATGAGAAGTATTTAACAATATTTTTAAAAAATATAATTTATAATACATTAATTAATAAATTATAGTCAAAGTAGAATATGTGAATATTGCAAAAAGTTCAATGTTGCAATTAAAAGGGAACGGAGGTAGTATTTGTGAAGCCTCCTTTAATTCCTCTTTTCATTAAAATAAAATATTCCTTTTAAAATTGATGGCAAAAATTGATGGCAAGCGCTGGGTCAAATGCATAAATGATACTTTAACTATTGGTATTGTTGCATTTTGGTAACTTAATCCTCAAAGCAATCAAGTCAGTATCATAACCGTACATAAATGTTTCAACTTGAGATTTTATTCAAACTTGCGGCCAAAAATCATTCATATCGATCAAAATTCCATGTGTAAAGTCACCATATAGTGATCATATGAACATAAATAAGATGAAATAGACTTTGCGCATACATTTCCGGCCGCCACATGAGAATATTTTTTGGTCAGAAATTTGAATAATATTGCAAGTTAAAACATTTATGTATAGTTAAGGTATTGTTTTGATTCATTTAAAAGTTAAGGTACCAAAATGCAATAATATCATTTATTAAAGTACCATTTATGCATTTCACCCGGCAAGAGCTATATAATGTTACGTGAATAAACCATATGCTATATGAATAAAGAACTACAAAGTCTTTTTTACAATGTATATGGATATGCACCGTATGATTTATGTTGTAAGGGTATTTTAGTATTTTTCAAAAATATTATCGTACATTATAATCAC